GGAATTTCAAGTAAATGCCCTAAACAACAACCCTCAGCACTTTAATTGTTTTCCTGCCAATCACACCCTAGAGAGATATTACTTGTTGGGTGTCAGGAAACAGGTGGTGTTAAAAGGCAAACCAGAGTTGATTTAAAGCAGAGTGGGCAGTAATTTGAGGCACCACTTTCAGTGTTTGCAAAGGTACAGGCCGTGTGTAGGAGCTCCTTATGCAAGCCTGTGCCAGGGCTAGGGAAAGAGGAACTAATCTGCCTGGTGGTCCCTGAGTTTGAATCAACTCTTCTCTCCCTCTCCGATGGAGAACCACTGACCCTGGGGATGGACAATGTGGAAGGAGAATGCTGACAAGTCTAGGATATGTTTATTTGCTGGTTTTTTGTATTGCCCACAATTAGGCATACCAGTACATCCACCATTAATGTGGAGTTGTAAAGTACTGGGAGCTTAAAGGCCTCGTGGCATTCCACAGTCGGGGCAGGGGTGAAATCCTGCCCCTGCATCTGGAACTCAGAGCTGCAGGCGGGCGACCTTAAAGGAATGATGGAGAAAGTATTGTATGCCCCTTGCAAGGGATCAGTTTCTGCCTCCCTCGGGCCAAGACTGTCTGGCCCCAGCACCATCAGGGAGTGCGTCTGCCTCTCCACGGAGGTGCTGGGTTGTGACCAAGGAGCAACCTTCCTCTCCCCGCCAAGGCCTTCAGTTATTGGCGCTGGCCTCGCAGCCTAGAAGGGCTGCCAGTTCAGTACTCAGTGCTGGCCATCTCCCTAAGAGTTTTGGCTCAGCTGTCGCAGGGCCTTTCCTCTTGGAGCTCTCTCTCTCTCTCTCTCTCTCTCTCTCTCTCTCTCTCTCTCTCTCCCACTTCGCATTTTCCAAAAGCTGTGTGTGCATCTCTGGTCTGAGATGCAGGAGGCCTCTTTAGATTTTGGAAAGCATCAATGAATACCGATTTGTCCCTGAAACTATCTCAAACGAAACCTACTGGGCACAGGCCACGGCCTGAGAGTCCTCGCTTGTGGCCTGGCACTTCCCGGGTCAAACCCGCCGGGTTGCAGAGCCCCAGACCGTCCTCATCCTCAGGAGGACCAATGACGCCTCTCCAGCTGCCAGATTCTCTCTGAACTGCAGCCCCAGGGGCTGCTCTCAGCCAAGCGGCTGCTCTGCAGGCTTGAGTGGACTTGCCCCGCCCCCTCCGCCTCTCCTCCCACTAGGCTGGCCTTGTATATAAATCACCGGGGAGCTGGACCTGTAGCCAGTCCAGTCCGTGGGCGCGCCGGGGGCCAGGGGCCAGGGGCGGGGCTGACTGCAGGGCCTGTGCCAACCCGGGAGAGTGGCCGGTGAGACGGTGAAGGCCTCCCTCGTACCTTCTGACCCAGCCCTACTTTAAGAAACAGTTGCCAGCGGCCTGGCTCCCGTGGTTGAGTGTCAACCCATGAACCAGGAGGTCACGGTTTGATTCCCCGCCAGGGCACATGCCCGGGTTGCAGGCTCGATCCCCAGTGTGGGGCGTGCAGGAGGCAGCCCATCAGTGATTCTCTCTCGTCACTGATGTTTCTATCTCTCTCTCCCTCCCATCTTCTCTGAAATCAATAAAACTATGTTTCAGAAAAGGAACAGTTAATAATGGCCACAGCTTCCTATACGCCTCTCCTCCTGGCAACGCCGTCCCTGTTCAGAGGTGAGAGAACTTGCCCAAGGCCACAGAGCGCAGCCGCAGGGGAGAGGAAGCTGCTGGGATTCAAACCCAGGCTTTCCTGGCTCCCCCGCTCACTATGGCGGTTTGGGGGCAGTTCTTTCAATCGGGGTCTTCTTCACTTGGGAAAACATGGAATTCTCCTTCCTCACTTCCTCTTCCCTGCGTAGTACAGGCTTACACTCGGTGCCCGCTTCTCCCTTCGAACGGCCGCGTGTTGCACCGACAAAGGCCGCTCGGACTCCTGGAAGCCGGGCTCCCCGTCTGTACCTGCTCCGCTCGCTCCCTGGAGTATCTCCCTTCACCGGCTCCAGGCAGCTCTGCATCTGCATCCCCCCTCATAGCCAACGCGGGGGGAGAGCCTCCCGTGGGGCACCCGCCCAGCCCCGCGCAAGGGGTCCCAGCCCCGGGCACAGCCCCATCTGCAGCGAAGTTCTGGGCCGACTGCACCGGGGCCTCCCCGAGGGTCCCGGCGGCCCGCGAGCCGACTCGAAGGGGGAAAGCAGACCCGCTCCCCACCGGCTCTGCACGGGACCGGGCAGGGCGTGGGAGGGACTCGTTGTAAAGGCAGGTGTACAGTCCTCCCGGCCCCCACGGACCAGGCCTCCCGATCTCCGCACTAGCCGCGGGGGAGGGGTGGTGAGGGCAGGCGGTGCGGCTGCGGCTGCGGTGAAGGGCGCGCGGGGCGCACTAGGTGGCTCTGCCGCCAGCGACCTGAACATCTCCGGGAACATGGATCTACCAGCTCCCTTTAGACCTATCAGCTCCCTTTAGACCTATCAGCTCCCGTTAGATCTATCAGCTCCCATTAGGAGCCGGACCGAGAGGTTTCCTCGATCTATATCGGAAGAAATAAAAGCGACCAAGCTCTTGCTCTACTCGCCCCCTTCGGGCCTTCTACAAGCGGGTGGCGGGAGGGGTTCGGGTAGGCCGGGGCTGCGTCCCGGGGGAGCGGGGATCCCACGGGCACCCATAGGCCCAGGGCCCGGCCTGGGGTCGCCGCAGGTTTTCGCGGGGTGGGGTGGGGGGAGCAGCGGGAAGGGGTTCCGGGGGTTCCCTGAGCGGCGAGAGACGTGCGACCTCTTTTCCATTCAAGCGCACCTTCCAGGGCTCAAGGACCCCTCACCCCGGGCCGCCTCGGGCGGAGGAGGGCGGCGCCGGTCCCGCTACGACCCTGGGGGTGGCGTGGGAGCCCGGAGACACTGCAGGGGCGTTTACTGCAAAAGTAGCAAGAAATCCTTTCTCCAGAGGGAGGGACAATGAGCAAGAATTAAAGGGAATTCAAGTGGAAAAGCGGTGAATGCTGGAACGACCCACACCGACCCACACCCGGAGCCGCGAGGTTGACACGAAGCTCTGTGGTTCCCTTCCTTGGCGGGAACGAGTCTTTTCATGATTTTTCTCCAAGTGTTTGGAGAAATCTCCCTTCCAGACGTGTTACTTAACAAACCCGCTGCGCCCGGACTTGAGACGGTATTATTTTTTCCAGCGACACTCAGCAAACTGTGCAGAGAATGTCCTTTTTGCCCTGCCCCAAGGCCATTCAGGAGGGGAGAGCTATTTCTTTGGGGTTAAAAAATGATTTCCACTTCATCATCTTTCACTGTAAGACTTGTTAGGTTTCCGATTAAATTCCTTTTAAAAAATGATACTCTAAAAAAATAACACGTGGCTTCCTCTAATAGACAGATGCGTGGGTACTCACCTAACAGTCACACACACCAATGAACAATTATGAAGTCATTTCAAGCAATTTGCAGTTATGTGGAAGGGCATTTCTGGGTAAGAAGCCACAAGCAACTTTTCCGTCTTTTTCGGGGTTGTTTTATAAGTTTCTCTTTACACACCTTTCTTGGGCTGTGTCCTCATACCTGCTTTTGTTGTTATCCTCGCTGTGGGGTGCCAGCGGAGGTTGGGATGGGAAGGGAGCTTTTAGGAATCTGGGTACCGAAGGGCAGGGAGCACCCCAATCTAGAGAGAAGCTATGAGAGGCTGACCAGCAAAGAGGGCCATTAGGGAGGTTAAGTGGGTGAAGCCAGCAGCAAGGCCCTCCCGCAGCCCCAAGTACTTTCACCTGAAACACATGCTTTCCCCTTTATTGCTTAATTCCACACGCACTCATGGTTAAGAGCAGGTCACCAGTCATTCATACTTTAGGACAAAATGGGCCAATTGCACTGAGATGAACTGTATCAAGGAAATAGACATGTTATTGAACGGGAAACAAGGGTGGGCAATTTCTAAGCATAGAGCAATTCGGGCTGTGTAGCAAGTCCCAAGCTTGGGGACTTAGGGGAGCATGACTGGACCCTGAGGCTTGAAGAAAGGATGGTCCTGAGCCTGAGGGTGGAGAGAGAGGGAAGGACAGCATTCCAAGACAAACTCCCTTTCAAAACTGCTGAGTGGCAGTATAAGTCTCTCACCCAGAAAGGGGGAGAAACCTCCTTTCCTGTTGACCTTGTACCACAGGGTCTTTTTACCCCTGGGACCCAGAAGTTGAGTGAAAACAATATTATGTAACCAGAGGCCTAGTGCACAAAATTTGTGCAAGAATAAGCCTTCCTTCCCCCTGTAGGCAGCACCGGCTTCCCTCTGGCACCCGGGACCGAGGACCGGGCTTCCCTCACAGCCCTGGCTTCGACCGGAAGAATGTCCGGTCTAATTAGCATATTATGCTTTTATTACTATAGGTAACTTGGATGAAGTAGATTGTTGTGGGCTAATCTGGGTACCAAGTCATCCTTTGTAACACCAATGGTGGAGTGAATTTAAAAATCCAAGAAGTTGTTTCACTTCCAAAGTTTCAGAACTTAAGTTTACATAAATTTCAGTGTTAACTCCACTTATTTTGCATTAACTTACTTAATGGAAATATTACGTATGAATGAATGCAGTAGCAAACATGCCAACATATTTTAGAAAAAAATACAAAATTAAAAATTCATAGGGAATTACAAAGCATACTACTGTTAACTATCTTTCAAAATTGTTGCAAGAAAATACTTTGGGGGAAGAAATAACTGTTAATTAGTAAGTCAATTGCTAGTTAACAGTACCAGCATTCCTAGTATTAACTAATTATTAGTTACCATTAATTGCTAGTGTTAACTAATAATACACAATATCTAAGTATGTAGTCAACATTACCTTTGCTATGGAAATATGCTGTCCTAGTACTAAGTCTTTTAACAAATGTGTGTGCCTACTAGGTGCAAAGCAGTGTTAATTTTTTACTCATTTGATTGTGAACGAGACAAAAAATTAAGCAAGGAACAAACAGAGCCAAATTATGATGTTTGTAATACTGCGAACATTTTTTACTGCATTTAATCTATACAAGTCTAATAAATACAGAAGTGCTTATGACTAAGTGGGTTTTTATTGCCTGCAAGCTCTTACAAGTAGGAGAATAAAGTATGTTGATGGCAGCACACTCACTAACCCACACTTTGGGATTTTTTTTACATTTTAAAAAGAAATGTTCAGAATGGAACAAGACACAGGACATTGGGTAATCTAGCCTTTATTTGGCTTTGGCAGTCCTGTAAGCCCAGGAATATACCTGCAGGCCAATTCAGAGTACTAAGAACCAAGGTTAATGTTTTCTCAGACGTCACAACAATGACAAATTAATTATGAAACAAACCTTGCACATAAATGATAAACTGTGCATACCACTTTAACACGGGTACAGCAGAGCTGGCAGAGTGAACAGAAGTGACTTCTCCCAATGTGGTATTATGAGATATACTCACCTCATACACAGGACACTATTTTGATGTGATTACAGAAAAAAAAAAGTCAACTAAGAAAATAGTTCTAGTCACAAACAGAGCCAAAGCTCATATTGGGTCAAGCAACACAAAAAAGGCTGATCTTCTTAAAAACAAAACAAAAAACTTGGCAAACTTGACATTTTCCCCTTTATTTCTGCTTCCAGGTTTACTTTTGAAAATGTGGAGTGAAAGACAAGCATTTTTATTTGGTCAAACACTGTAACTACAAGGACCAGGTACAAAATAAAGCCATGTCAAGGACCTGCTCTCTTCTACAAGCCGCACACCCTCAGGCCTCCTCTTCTTCGTCACTGTCCTTCATGGTAATGCCCTGAAGTCCGCCTCCTTCTGAAACAGAGGCTGTAGCCTCCTCCACTGTTAACCGCCTGTGCACAGTGTCGTAGGTCTTACTGTTCAGTGTGCCTTCCAACACACCCTGCAATCGGAAGTCCCTATAGGTTTTCTGGAGGAGGAAGAAAAACATTGTTTAGATCACGTATGGATTATATGTGTGCAGGTATATGCGATGTCTATCCTATATAATAAAAGTGTAATATGCTAAGTGTCTGACCGTTTGGTCGACCGCTCAAACAGTCGCTATCATGTGCATTGACCACCACGGGGCAGACAGTCCAACTGGTAGGTTAGCTTGCTGCTGGGGTCCAGCCAATGGGGACTGGGCTAATAGAGCCGGAAATGCCCAGGAGCCCTCCCATGGTCCCTCCCCGGCTGGCCGGCCCCCACCGGCCCCCATCGGGACTGGGCGAGATGGCCCTGATTGCTGGCCAGTTTGAGGGATCCCACCCATGCATGAATTCGTGCACCAGGCCTCTAGTATGTACATAAACACAATCAGCATTTCCAAAATGATCTTGGGCAATCCATGAATGGCTTCAGATTATCAATGATCTTGTTGGTGTATTTCTAGGGAGAAAATGAGAGACTTCGGATAGAGCTATGTAACCTAGAATCACTCTAAATAGACCAAAATGTTTTAACTATCAGATGATAATTGAGCTTTTCTCCAAAATATTACTAATTACATAGAATTTACTATTTGGATAACTTGTAACAAGATAAAATTATATGTCCTGATATATATATTTAATACAAAAAGAATCCTTAGTATTATATTTGAGGAGACTTTCCTTTAATACTTAAAAATACATTACATTTTATAAAATGCATTAGTTTTTTGGGGAAGGTGTATGGAGGGCGAAGATTAATCCTATTATCAGTAAAAGAAGTTTGCATTTTCACCGCTTGTGAATTATAAAATTTATTTATATGTAACAAGGGATACAATTTTGTGTACACCTAAATGTCTATGCATTCTGTCCTTTCCTTTTGAAATTCCCTTGGACTGTGAATTGTCAAATTCTGGCATAAAGCTCTCATAGATGGGCTAATAAAATATGTATTTACATCTTCTGTGAAACAGTAAATTATAATTTGGTGTGTTATACGTCAAAAATAGAATACCATGATATTGTTTCTACAGTGATTCTCAAAAACAACAAGAACAACCGAACTCTGGGTTATATGGCACTTCAGATATGTAACCTGTAAAGCTTCCCTTAATTTCACTTTCCCCTTACGTGTGATTTTCCTCAGATATGATTTTTCTATGACTAAACAATACAGGTATTTTAGTGTTGATTTTTAAAGTTGTAGAAAGAAATTGAGAATTAGTTCAACGGGGAAACAAAGAACAAATGAAGATTTCCATTCTGTTGAGGCACTTCTAAGGCCATTTTTTTAAGCTAAATATCTTTAAATATAATTTAACTGTCCTATATTAGCTTTAGAATATTAAACAGATTTCAATGAACTGGCCCCAAAGTATCTTCTATACATATCAATATGCCACTGATTGCTAATGGTCATCTTTTTTTTTTGGGGGGGGGGGAGAAGAGGGGAGTTTTGCACTTAATAGATGAATACAGTAAAAAAAGAAGGGATGTTGTACTTGATGGTACAATATTATAACTCAATATCTGGAAATTAACATTAAAGGATGTTTGATTTCACTCACCACAGTAGAAGGCAAATATCATACTATTCAGATGGTTTGATGGATGACATCTGATTCCCCTTGATATAGATACTGGCCTACTAACAGCCTTCTGGATACAAGGTAGTGGGCTCATTGGTATTCGTCTGGATACAAGGTAGTGGGCTCATCGGTATTTGCATATTTTATCTTCCTGTCTTATTTCATCTGACTTATGCCTCATGTTGTTATACCAAGTTTCAGAAGTGATTTGTCAAAAGTAAGTATGGAGGGTAAATACTTTTTTTATTTGGAATAATCAGTGGTTATAAATAAAATTCATATTTGAAAAGTCCACCAAATCTAAAGAGAAGCTGAACTGTGAGGAATACTGTATAGAATCTGAAGTTAGTATCGCAACAGCAAGCAAAATTTAGATGCAGAGTGTAGTTTTCTTTTTAAGTGATCAGAACTATTTTTACTTGGATTCTAATATTTTGTTTTAAGACACAAACAACCCTCCATCCTCATCTCTTTCTAAGATGGTACCTTAATAATACATAAAAATTTGTGATCATTTATATGAAAACCCATGAAGTAACTCTGAAAGGTAAGTTTTGTCTAAAGAATCCAGTAACTGAAATACATCGTATTACAACCATAGAGATCTGTGTTCAAGCCTATAAGTGTCTAATAGTTAGATTAAAATGATATCAAACACCCAAATTTTCATCTACAGATGACCTATCTGGTCTAAAATATTATTGTTCCACTGATAATTATATATGTGGCTTGTGAATCCTACTTTCTTATTTTATGGAATGACTTTCCTTAGACTTAGTTTGATTATCAATAAGTTAGCAGGGACAGATTTGTATTGTGAAGGCTTTCTAATGTAGATATAATTAAGACTCCACTTCCTTGTTTTATTAGCAAGCGATCAGCAGTTAGGGGCAGGTACCCTTGCAATCTCTCTCCTGTTTTAGAATTCACAAAATGTTATTTACACTTGGACAGCCTCTGTGGCTGCCAGGGAAGGTCTGCTTGGCTCTTATTTAAGCTAAGTGTCTGGCATAGGGTGCTTCTCACCTGCCTTTCCTCCTAGTAAAAGAGGCAGCTGCTTTATGTTAACTGCTTTGAAATGTCACATGGCCACCAGAGAGAACACAGTCCACCATTTTGATTATATGAGGATTCTATTTTTTCCCTCCCCAAGTAAATCATTCTGTTGTTAAAACTTTGCAAATAGCTTCTTAGTCCTAAACATTTTGTGAAAATCTTACTAGAATTAGTTGGGTTTTGTTTTGGGGTGTTTTTTTTTTTTGCAACATAAATAAAGTAATGTCTAAGTATCTTTGTGGGACAAAGTTGGCTATCATGTAAATGTAGATGGTGTCTGGGTCTCCAGGGGCAGAGAACAATGACAATGCTTGTGAGTAGTAAGGACTAAGTTGCCAAGGTGGAGGACCGTGACTCCTGGGAGAGCGGACTACTCTGCTGTCACAGGCAGGCCAAGTCCAAGGAATTTGGATGAAAGGAAAGCCTATCAGGGGCCTTCACAATTCCATACAATTCTCCTTAAATTCATTGGAAAATGATTATTATAAACATAACCATATAGGTTTGAAAAACGACGAATTTATGTCTGATATTGGTTAAAGTCTCTTTATAGTCAAAGTAGAAAAAAACCATTAGAACACTAAATTACTAATTCATCCTGATTTTTTATTGTGAAAATAATTAAATTATTAAATAAAACCCTATGACTTGAATAAATATATCGATCGGCCCAAGAAAGCACGGGCTGAATCTGCTTGTGAAAAACAAAACATTGGAAGTCAAACATATTCATGAAATTTAATTTCATACTTATCAGTCTTAGCTATTGGCAGCCATAATGAAAAATATGTTAAAGTTAAGATAAATCGATTGGCTTAGAGTACAATGGAAGTGCCACTGTAAAATTCAAGAAAGCATTAATTGTTATTTTCTGCTAAAACATTTACTGGTGCTTGATTTTTAACTGCAATGACTTGAGAATATGAGAAAAGGAATAATTGTGAAAGAAACAAATGATGGGCTAATTGAAAAGACAAAAAAGAAGTGATTTGTCAAAAGCTAAAAAAAAAGGTTTTTATTCTAAAAACAAAGTAAAGAGCTTAATCTATCAACTAATATTAATTGACTGAATATGTAACTTCTGACACCCTAAACCCAGTGGACATCAGCTTGAAAATGAGGCTGATCATAAGGGCAGCCAGCTAATCCCAACAGTATAGACTGCAACCTTAACATATACATATTTTTAGAAGGTAAGAACCAGATTATCCTGATTCTCTTTTATGAAAGACAAACTTCATTTGAAAGCTCTCCGCATCACATTTATAGAAAGAAGGAAGAAACAATAAAGAAATTAAGGCAAATGTGAACACGTCTTAGCGTGCTTTCAGTTTCTTTGTAAAACAAATAATACCTGGTAGTAAGTGTCCTGGATAAAATGTAATGTGTTAGTAGGTGGCTATCATGTGACTTATTATTTTTGACTAATCATGATTGCTATTACTATGCCATTATATATGTGCAGGTTTGCCAACTTCTTACTTTGGAACAGAACTTTCCTATTTGTGGGTCTTTCCAATCTGTAATAAGCTGTATGTCTATGGCACAAAATAATTTGTATTCTAATTAGATTGCAGGAACCAAGAGAATGATGGGAAATATTTTAATGCAGAAAAAACTTCCTTTAATGATGTAACAGTAGTTCTTAAACTTGAACTACTACAGTATATCCAGATTGCTGGGCCCTACTCTCAGAGTTTCTGATTCAGTAGATCTGGGGTTAGATAACTTGCTAGTCAGCATGTCTAGCAAGTTTCTAGGTGATGTTGATAATGCCAGGTCAGGAATGACACTTTGAAAATCAATGTGTATACGTGAGTGTGTATGTGTGTGCATGAGCATATACACATATGAGCACACATAAATATGCACATATACATAAATACATATGTGCACACACACACATATATATGGGCACATATGTAATTATACATAACTTTATGTATGTGTGTATATATAGGTATGTACTAATTTGATAAATGGTACTAAGATTGAAGTAAAGCTTCTATTCACTAAACATAACATATGCTATTACCTTTTCTCTTCAAGAGCAAAAGTCAAAATGGCCTTGCTGACGTGACATGACATCTGTTAGTTTTGATGGTCCCCAGCACTGAAACTGATGATCCTTACATATAGGAAGAGGCATGCTTCCAAAGAATTCAGGCAGTGACAATGCTTTACTTTTGTGTCAGGATATAACAAAAGAATGGAGGCTTTCCTTATCCTACTGACAAATGAAAAAGCCCTCCTAATGATATATGACCCCAGTAAATAGGGAGGAAATACATCATGAGAAAACATTTCTATACCTAAGAGAATACAAAATTATTGTGGACTGCCTACCTTCAGGTAAATGTGCTAGGGGCTTTCTGTATGTTATGTAAAATTGTGATTACTTGATAACAACATATTTTTTATTTATTAGAGCAAAGAAGATAAGTTTATATTTATTGAGTAATCTAACTGGAAATGGAAATAAACAGCAGCACATCATTGCTGACAGTGTTGTTTGAAAAGTACTTAAACCCACTGAGTCACATCAAACAAGATGCTTTATTTGTATGTCAATATCTTGCCATTACTCTTTATAGCTTGCTGGGCAATTCACATCTACACACATTTCGTTTACCTTCACGATCTTGATGAGCGTCTTCAGTTGGTAAATATGAAGCTGAAGGTCTAATCTGTCCGCCAACCACACACAGATGACTTTCATGGAACTGCTGTACCATTGCTGGAAAGAGGGATGGGGGCAGAGGGGAGGAGAAGAGGAAAGAAAAAAAACCTCTGCAATATTCATTTAACAGATTCGGTAATGAGGGGGTAATGAAACACTCTGAAATGACCACAGATCAGCACTTGAAGTCAATAACGCTATAATTTCCTGTTAACAGAATTGTATGTTTAGCTAGAGAATCTGCTAAGCTGACCTGGCCTGTTCTTCCCATGAATTAACATTACAGGCTTTCAGCAGTAACATATTCATGGGAAACAGTGTTTTTGCACTTGCTGCCTACTGGCCTGCTTTGCAATTTGTAGGTAACAATGGGTACTAGATACACGTTATGGGACTGAATGGACTGCCAAATAGCAGGAAAAAACAGGTAAATAATTTTCAAAGGAAAATTTGCCATTAGCTTGTATGTTATGTAAAAATCCAAGAGTAGGTGCATTATGCCATAATGCATGTAGTCAATACCTAGAAATAACATTTTGAAGGAGTGATGGCAAAAATAGCCACAGCTTACTGAACTACAATCCTCAAGCACACATGTACCTGTTATTGATTGTCAAGTATTTGCCAAAATCTTTTAAAACCACCTCAAATAAAAACTTTAGGTTGTAGGCATGAACATCATCAGGATGGAATTCTTCTGACTTTTGTTTTTTCCTCGTGTCTTATAAGAATCACAAAACAGCTGTCAGTTGAAAGGAAAGTTTCTGTTCCATTTTGCGAGGGTTTTGGATGGTTCATTTACCTCTGTTTATTACAACTCTCTTTAGGGGAAAACTGAAATTCTTCTTCAGTGTAATTTCCTATTCATCTTTAATGTCTGCAAGTGTAGCAAAAGGAGGGATTTTGTTCCAGTTGTCCAAAAAAAGGCAATCTGTCAGTGGTGACATTTTAAGAGATTCAATGACTACCATGCGCCAAGCTTGGTTTAGGTGATTCTGTAAGAATAATCATGCTACTCGTTCAGGTAACCATGAGAAATACCCGTCTATTCAGCACTTAGGAGATGATGAGAGTTTTTGAAAGAGAAGAAATCTCGTACCTTGTTTGTATACATAAACATAGTGACACTACAGGTCACACACGTATGCATATGTTTGTAGGTATTTGAACATAAAAAAACTTAAATATTTTTCTTCACATAATAAAACAGTAAATTCAACTTCTAAGAGAAACCTCAAGGGATACAAATAAGTCTGAAATTCATCTGGACTTGTAGTAACATTGTTCTAATAAAATTTCGTAAAAGAAATGGTATTTTAAGCATAAGTTAAGAATGAATTTGGTTTCATATTCATCAGACTTCTTTCTATTGATTTGTTAGTACACTGAACATACATGTTTAGAATGAGATAAGCTAGATAAAGTGAAGAACTGATTTACTAAATACTATGATATCAAATGGATGAATGAACATTTTAAAAATTGGTTAGACTATGATCTTTAAAAAATGTTATTCATGTACCTAATTTTGCTCTTTTCTAAAGATTACTTTCTTAATTTTAAGACATGTAAAAGTATCAGAAATAAGTTTTATAAAATGAGACAAATTCCTAAACTCTTAAAAAATGAATTGCTAATGAATTCAGTACTTCTGCTGACATACTAAATCTAAAATCATTTATAATCTCTTTATTTCTGATACCATTTAAATTCTATGCTTTCTTATTTCAAATTATTTTTAGTCTTAACTTCTTGAGTTCTATTTTAATACGGGTAAACACTCACCGGACTGGTGATACTGAAGACACTGAATTAAGACCCTTACTCCTTCCCACATAATTTGAAAGCTAAAATATACTAGTAGTCATGATGGTTATGACTCTTAAATTCTATTCCTTCTGCAGGGGATAATAAAATTTTCTTTTTGTTGGGGGAGGGGGGGTAAAATATGATAAATTGTATGAAGTCTAGCATAACATACTAGTTAATCTGTCTGTGCAGGTACTATAAAAATGGTAAGTTGTATGAACTTGAGGAAATGGAAATACTTTCTTAAATTGCTCCATATGTATTTTTTCTTTAAAAAATCCTTACATAATTTAAAATTAATTTTACTTCATTTTTCTATTACATATGAATAATACTAATGGTTATGTGGTAATCAAAAAGACACCTAATGTAACACAGAAATTTATTTTTAATGTGGTAATATCTTTAATAAAAATGGCAAAATTATAATTTTAGAAAAAAAACAATTTTAGAATAAATGATCCAAAGTTAACAAAAACACACACATAAAAACACAGGGGAAAAAAGAGAACTACTGTTAAGTAGAATTTTTAAGCTCCTTTACCATAATCTTACTTTAAAGGCCAACAAATTATTCTATATGGAAAATTCTATAAGAAAAATGATAGTATCTGGTAAGAATGCATATTTTTTGGTTCCCATGTCAAAGCATTTTGAAGAACTTCAGCTAAATCAAGCAAATGAAGAGAAAGCAGTAGCTCAGTTTATGTTGCTACTAAGAATAAAGTAACAAAAACAAAAACACTCTCCTTTCTTGTATAGGATGAAACACACACACACACACACACACACACACACACAAAACAAATTTCTAGCATTTTCCTATTTCTGGAGCTGGAACTGGTATTTTTCTCTTTGGGGTGCTGAAGTATGGTGAGTCCTAGGTTTTCATCTTGAGAAAAAAGTCCAAGATAGCAGCTTAGCTTCAGCCCCTGCCCCCACCAAACCAAACCACCCTCCCAAAACAAAGGGAAAACGTTTTGAAAAAGGATGAATGTGCAGTGAAGTCTGAGTGTTCGAAAATGCCCTTTCATTTTGGAAAAGTTAATTTTTTAAAAGAACTTGGTTGACTATTCCCTTTTCCCGTCAGGGGCTGACAAGGAAGGGGCGCTGTGGCTTGCCCTGGAGCCAGGGCTGTGGCATTATTGCTTTATTCTTTGCTTTGGAATAAAGCAGTCAGTGTATATTCTATCTTTTTTTTCCCCTACACCAATCCATGACAGCAGCCTACCACGTTAACAAAATATAGATTTTTTTTTCTTTTTGTGGTTCATTCAGCTCCTGTAAGGGCATGTATTACTCACTTCATTTTCTTGAGATATCTCTTTTAAAGCAAAAATAAAAGGAAAGGAAAGGCTAGGGTTGACTCTGTGAGACCCCTGTATTTATTCACACTTATTGTGCATGACTGTAGACTGGTAAATCATATTAGCAGCCCGTCTCCCCATCAAGCTGCTACTTGCTTTCCAGCCCTGGGAAGGTTCAACAAATCAACAGGAGCACGGAAAACAGAACATCAGTCTAATCTAGTGTTTAAGGTGAAGTTTTCAAACCCAATCTAAGAAGATCTTTAGAGCAAGCAACAAGCTGAAGGGCTCAGAAGGTGGTATTGACAATGAAAGAGTGTGGAAATATTGAGAAGCGCAGCACTTGTGCATTTTTAATAACAAGAGGGTCAACAAGGACACAGCTCCCTCCGTGCCCGGAGTTGCCACTGACTATGGAAATTGCCACACCACGGCTATGAGCGCTTGCAGTTCATCAGCTTTCTTAAACAGTTCATCAGCTTTCTTAAACACCCCGAACCCCCTCCGTGGACCTTTAGTCTTGAATTAACAAACCAAAGCAATGAAAGAGGGTGCAGCCTGAATGGCTGGCATTGATCCCCAACTGTGCCACACTACTACAGGCCCTGAAAAATTCTCTCCATTGTCAATAGAAATTGACAAACCTCCTCTCCTAAATAGTGCAGCTGAGCCGGGCGGGATCCTTGCAGCTGTAAAGGGCTCTGCTCTCGGGGCCCCGGAGCACTAACAATGGAACAAGCATGAGCTCTTTGTCAGCCCCAGACTCGGCAATTTTCTAACAAGGATTAAAGTTGTTTCTCTGCAGCGCGGGTGAAAAGAGATTTAGCAACATACCGTGCTTTCTTCATGCAAGTTAAAGAGAAGCAGTTAAGGAATTCCACTATTCTGTTGGCCAGTGGAGATGCAAAACAAATATACTAAATGCGCACAGGTTCCCTTTCTGCTAATGTATAACATTTTAAGGATGATTCGATTAAGTATAATGCGTATTGCCTGGAAACCAGCATTGCACATTTATTTGGGAAGTTTTATTTTTAACAAGTCCAGCTGCTTGCCACCTGCAATGAGGTCTCAATACATACTAATGCACAATGCCTTTAGGCCCTCTGTAGCTGATATTCCTAAATCTGACTCACAAGACCACATAGGGTTTATATATCGCGGCTGCTTCCAGCAAATGATTTCCGTCAGAATGTGGCTTCTGATGATGATGGCAAGGTAAAAATAGCCGCTTTGCCAGGGGACAAATCTGTGACATATTTTCTGCTTAAGTGTTTAGCTTTTTATTGATTATGAATTGGTGCAACTAGTTGATCTACTCTCATTTTTCTCCAGCTATGCTCGTCTCAATAGGTGAACAACAGAAAAAATAGAAAAGAACCAACACTTTTTAGTGCACTAACGATATGGAGTGGCTGAACTTCCACAGTAGGCATGTATGTCTTCATCTATTTCAAGAGAAGCTGTTTTACAGGCACTGAATCACTGTGTTGAAATACCATCTAGAAAATCTCACCTTAGAAAAGATGTACCTTTTTAATGCAAGGTTTAATAGAATAAAAACATAATATTCTTGAAATGCTGAAGGTTTTGATATGTTTGATAAATATAAGCCATCCTTTAGGATGACTGGTAGCTTTAGAGAGCAACAAAATACTTAGAAATATTCATGCCTGACAGTTTCACCAGTCTATTAACAAGTACATAGAAATGTGTTATTACGTACACACTGTCGATCGTACATCTCTGTAGTGTAACTAAATTTAGCGCCACTCACTTCCCATTTCTAAACATTAAAATGCAAAGTTTATTTTAATGGTAAGTTGGATACAGTGATATCAACATTTCCTCCTCTGTTCAAGGCATCCTGCGAAAATGACCATATTTAGCTTCACAAAACAGACCCCAAAACACAATCATTTTGGAAGTGTTAAGTGTGAA